TTTTTTTTTTTTTTTTTTTTTTTTTATTTAGCGGCGGAAGTGACTAAGACTCTGGCTGCAGTAGAATTACTTATACGCACTTGTTCTGGTTCGGATCACTTCCCATCATACATGGACAAAGAACGACGTATACGTAATAACAATAATTATTATCATCAACTACACTACGATAATTATACGTCTTTTTATTAATAATAATAATAATAATAATAATAATAATAATAATAATAACGGATTTGAGCGAAATACTAAAAAAATCGGAACAACTCTGCCGCAATAATTCCCATGCACACTCGTTGCATCGCACAATGAAAGCGGTCGGACAAAAGAAAAACTGTACAACCAAAACGATTGCGGCGGGTAAACGCGTCCACACAGGTGGTACACACGTGCAATCAAACATTTTAACACGGCGAATTATCAACGTTATTTTCTTATTTTTCAGATCGAACTACTACAGAGAATTGTTTAACGAATATCCACTCTCTCTTTTCTGGAAAAAAAAAAAGCAGCTCAACGAGCAGATATACCACTGAACCTTCCTCTTAACTTTTGGACATTCTCAAGTTACACGTTCTCCCACAGTGAGATTATTTCCTACACATAAAATATAATATCTTGTTACAAAATCTACTAATTTGATAAATTGAAATTTATTTTCTGATGGGCACGCAGTAAGTAAAATCCTACTCTACGTCCAATAGACTTTACTGCGTATCCATTTTTGAACACAGAAAACCTTCTTGGTGTACGAGCACAAAGTATTGACGTTGTAGCCGACGAGCGAACACGCAATTTCCTTTTTTCCTGGTGTCCAATTAAATTCAAAAACCGGTAAAGGTTCGGTATTTAAGGAATTGCGTGTAATAAAAGGAACCTATAAGAGATTATTTTAATGGGTTAAAAAAAAAAAATGAGAAATCGGATATTAATTATTAATACACCCGAATTTTAACGTCTCTAACTACGGGGTAATTTGTATATAAACTTTAAAGTATTTGTAAATACTTTTCGTGACAGTATATCTATATTCTCACTCAAACACGTATTATAAATACGTTTTAAACAATAATTTCTGATGTATTTATAGTATTCGAAATACTTTTACATGCCTTGGAATCTTTGTTGAAGCGACATCCGCAAGACGGGCGCATAATAATAACATACATTTGTATTGATACATGTATTGAACCTGCCTGTAACGGACATTCACGGGACAGTCGAAATTGTCCGCTATACTCGGGTGTCCGTTGCAGAGAGGTTTTAGCGTTTTCGTTGTTTTATTCATTCAGCTAGGTAATACTTTCGTTTTCCCGATGCAAAAGTTGTTCAGCGAGTTTACGAACATCTATAAAATGGTTTGTCTAAGCCATTTTATAAATGTTTTACAGACGATTTCCGCAGTACAAGAAGTGCTATTCAAAGAAGAAACAACCGACTCTGAACAAACACAACTGCATTACGGTTTCCTGTTGAAACAATATAACAGGACATCATATTTTATTTGCATCGGTCACGCGATAAACGTTATCGTTTTTAGCGGTCAGACGTAAATTCGTTGAATTTCTTGGTTTTACAGCAAAATCGTTAACCGTTTTCGTGCCAACGGGTAGAAATATTACTGTTCACGCTCATTATAGACAAGTAGAAACACATTGCAATATCTATTTGTTTGCCGGTACCTAATTGTTTTGTTCTTCAAGAGAGATGATCATTATACCATCATAAAGGCGTCTGTGAAGACAGGCTTCACTGTATTGTATTGGTTGGAAACGGGATTCAGTTTTAGAAAAAAAGTAGCAAAATAATAATATTATATTGTGCTCGCTATCATAGCTGGACAATAACTATAGTTAATTTGTAAGTTACTTTTTTTTTTTTTTGATAACTTTTAACTTAACTCGTTCAATAAAAAAAAAATGTTGAAAAAGAACGTGGTTATTTCTTTTACTACGTAATTTTAACTTAATTCAATTACTAATTTAAACTATTTACGTTATTCTAAGTACCATATGTATTTCTTCAATCAATATGCATTCCTTATGTGGCTTTATACGTCTCGAACTTGGGAGCAACGGTACAATAACCGTCTATCCTGTGCAATAACCGAGATGAAAATGGGCATAACCGATTTAAACCAAAATTTCACCCTTCTCTTTTCAGCCAAACCAACAAGTATTGAAAATACAATATTGTATTATATATATATTGTCAATAATTATTGTCGTAGAACGATTGTAACGGAATAATAACGAGTATAATACTCGCACAGGTCACTATAGTGTAATATATACACATATAGTGCAAGAGCATTGACTTTAGAAAACTAAATATGAAACGAGACACTTTAATCAATTATTATTGAGCTGCGATAAAATCACGATAAACCGTTGATATTTATTTTGTATTAATAACAAAGATTATACAATTTTAATACGTTTTCAATACTTTTTGGTTCGACCGAAAAGAGAAGGGTATGATTTTGGTCAAAAAGGGTCTTGAACATAAAAACAAGCGAATTAAATTATTTATTTTACCCCGTGATGTTATCATTTATTTCAAGTCTGGGGCACGCTTCATATGCGCGGACAATTTTACCATCGTGACTTATTTAATCGTGGTTGGCACTTTGGAAATCACGTCCCGTCTCTATTGCGGATGTAATAATAAAATAGTTGCTGTATGGGGCCATAAAAACTTGGCTACTCCGGTCGTAATATAACCGGCGACTACATAATTAGATAGCGTTTGTTATATTTTATATTATTAGCCCGGGACCGTCCCTCGTGATTTACGCGACAAATAGCCGATTTCGGTTCGTCTTGCACTATATTATTATACACTTACGAACCGACTCCAAACAGTCTCGGGTTAATCAACGAAATGACTGTGTCTACGTACTGATGGACTCTTTTTGGTCCCTCCGAATTTCCCGCTCGGAAACGTCGCCGGAGAGTCGTCGGGTACGCCACGGCCGTGACTCTCTGGAGACACGCAGAGAATCGTTAGACAACAAAAGATAGATCTAACGGGCCCGATAAATGGTAATAATAGTGATACGCCCGTATAATTGGAAAAGTCCGAAAATTACGTCTCGCGAGAGAAAACCGGACAAGTTTCCCTCTAATTTACCGTCGATATTTTTATTATACTATAACATAACGAATGTAAACTTTACATCTTTACATGATAATCACTAAAATATCAGTCTTACATCAATGGTAATTATCATAACTGTATATAAGTAAGGAAGGTGAGGTCGGGATTATTTATTATTGACCTTAAAATCGAAAAAATTCAAATAGTATTGATAAGTGTCCTTAAAACAATCGTAAATGGCTTAATATCTTGTGTTAATTTTTTTTTTTTTTTTTAATTGTTCATTTAAAATATAATATTTACGCGTTTCATTGAAAACGAATATTTATTTCTTCATGAAATATTTCTTTTAACCTTTAAAATACAAAACATACACAAAACACAATTTAATATACCAAACTGCTTTTAAAATCATACCAAATACATTATAAATGTATAATTTTGCACGTTATGATATGCAATGTGACTGAAAAGAATATACATAAGTTATAAACATTTTGACGTTAGTTATATTATTATTATAAGACTACGAATTTGTGGCAAATTCATTTTATTTTAAACTCTTTTTAAAACATTGTTTTCCTAGTGCGAAGTTCGAATTATTATATTGCGTAACAACGAACTTGTTTTGAAACTTTCGTTTCAAATTTTTTAAATTTTCCTCCCGTCTTTGTTTGGTACTTTTAAAAAAATTACATAATTTCAAAATGGTTTTATTTCTATTTATAACAAGACAGGTTACTACTAACACTAAGTATTAATATTGAATTTTTTCAAAATTGAAATGCATTTTTTTTCGTAGTGCTTCTTTAACTTACACTTCAAACAGATTTATTTATCGAGTGCTGGTTTATATTTATATTTTTTTTTTGTTTAGGTTTTTAAGTGCGTATCTGGTGACGAGACAATACTAACAATAATAATCTAAAAACGATGTTTGCTCTCGGCGAGAAACAATAGCCTCGGAAGGTCCAAAGCGAGAGGTGAGCCGTCTCCGTCCACGAGAACGGTATTATTATATAAGTACACAAGGTTATGGAACCCGCATCATTTTAAATTACTCATTATCGGAACAATGTTTTCTGTCGAACAAAAGCCCGTTCCGTAATATTATCTTATTAATATTATGATTTCATAGTGTATCTCTCGGTTTTATCATCCGATGCACAGATAATAACAATAGTTAATGGTACAATGTACAGGTAGGCACCGGTCAAAATGGATTCAAACGATATAATATACTTCGGCGGCACCTATGCCCAAAAATAAACAAAACTGATTAAAAATAAACGAAGAGAAAAAACCCTTCGGAAGACCGAGACTGCAGTGGTGCGGGAATGCGTAGTCGAAAGAGACGTCGAAGAATTAGATCGAAGAGAAACAGCTAGAGATGGCTGGAGTAGTTTTCCCGTTTGGCGTGATGGGAAGAGACCGATTCTGCAGGGAGTTTCAATTTCTGCCCTAAATAACTCTTCCTCCAAATCTCAAACCGGTTGATTCCATTTACCGCCAAAAAACATAACTTTCCCTTTTCCTACACACGCAAAATGTATGTGCGACAAAGATTATGTCGTTTTCGTCATTATTTTATTATCATACACTACATAAAATAAGTGCTCTTCATTATATACTCATCATTGATACGCGATAAACTGTATATAAGTCTCTTTAATAGCTAATATCATCCGATAGATTAATTCACGGATCATTATAATATTGCGCTATATTCAATATTAATTTTATTATCACCCTAAACATTTTTTATTCGATGGAAAAGAAATAATTTTGGAGGGAAACCGACCACGCCCAATTTTTACTCCGAAGAAGAGGAAGAAGAATACGGCAAACATAATTATGAATAATAATTGTATAATTACTTTATTTTTTATGGTATTCAGCATAACATTATCATCAAACGTTATTTCAAACGATAATATTATTGTGTAGCTTATTTGTTCTTCATGTAACATTCAAACGCAATAACTTATCAAACGAAACGTAATAATAATATATAATATTATCTTATAATTATTAGGTTATTTACATAGGTTGTATATAACTACTATAATTGGTGATATCAACAATTTATTTGCTTTTTGATATTATCGACAATATTTTTCGTGTTGCCGGTATTACGTTTGTTCTTTAGACGCACTAGTTTTTCATCAACGACGACAACGTCTTCTGCGGGCGTCCGTTTTCTTTTTTCGGCTTTTGCGGTAGATTTTTGTACGGCAATGCCGTCATCGCCGTTTTGATTGTCCTGTAGGCGGGCAGACTTGTCGTTCAGATCCGGATAGGCTATATTGAGCAACGACGTTTCGATAGCGATGCGGGCTTTGAGTTTTTTGTCCGGTGAAAGCGTCGAGAAAATGGGCAGGAGACTTAACAAAAAATGTTTGTCGTCCGAGATGTTTTCGTCTTGGTAATAATTCGAATACTCGTTCGAATTCATCGCTTGGACCGTATTTTGATTGTCGTACTCGATGTTCAGACAATTTAACGGGTTATTGCAGTTGTCTTCGTCCGAACCGTCTCCGTCACCGCCGATCTGCACTTCCGGGTAAATGCCCGGAGGATATTGGAAACCCCCGGACAAGTATAACGGATTCGCAGCTACAGTGGCCGTATGCGATATCTGATCTCTGATAAACATCATGGAATGAAAATACGGCCACCTGGACCCGTCCTGGTCGCCCGCCATGGCCATACACCGTTTGTACTCTTTACGAAAATGATCCTTTAAATTTTTCCATTTCCCTCTGGCAGCTTTGTCTGAAATCACGCGTTCAATCGATTATAATAATATACTAATGCATCATTCGAATCATAATATTATTATGGCACACGATTTCTATAATTTTTCGGGTGATTAAAAAATAACGTGATCGATTCGTTTGGAGAAACATCCGAGTAAAAAACTCAATAGGTACAATTATTTAAATTACGAAAATACCAGAAAAAAAAAGTACTGTGACAATAATGCGAAAATGATTGCTCAATTACACAAACACGAAAATACGCGTGACCCACGCGTAATTAGTGCCATTTTAAATAGTTAATAAATTGAATATTTAAAAACATACTTAAAAACATACTCAAATAGCTAAAATCTAAAACCTATTAGCGTATTATGTTTAAAAAGAATACCAAGTATAAACGGTAAATTTAGGCGTAAATTTGAATGGAAAAAAATAGATGGTGTTGTAGTATATTGTGTCAGTTTTATGTCTTTTCCCCGCTACTTTATACACTTCGAATAGCTCAAATTCGAGAGAGTTAAATTTTATTAAGAACCTTTCAACACCCCAACAGACCCTCCAAAATGAAGCAATGGCAATGAATATTTTTACATGTATTGCGTTTATGTCAAGGATATGCCTTCTGGGTGATCAAACTATCAGCCACGGCCCCAACTAATTTTATGATAGAATTTCAGTAATATTTAAGAATATTCCTATAATATAAGATACAAAATTAGCGGGGGACGATTATAATCTAGTAGCTGAGCTCTGTTCCTCGCTGGTGTTTTTTTTTTTTTTTTTGTTAATGTTGTATTAAATTTATTCGAAATATTATATTAATTTATTCAATATATACTATATTAAACGATTTAAAAAATTCATTCAAGTTTTTGAACTGTTTTCAAAATTGTATAATTATTTTTTTTCTTACTTCACTTCGCGATCGGGGCCAGGAACTACAAACATCATAATTATTATTATAATACTTACAATATCTACGTGAACGTCTATGCGTAGAAATTTTCAATATAAAACCATGCGCATGAGGAAAACATAGTTCGGAACTAGTGTCAGAAAGAACGAACTGGCAAAAAGAATCTACAGGGGGCACGTGCCCCCTCGAATTTGGGCGTTCGATTTTTCGACGTGGGAAATAAATCGAAGAACAAATAATTGTAACGATTCTATTGATCGCAAAGACACAGTCCTCGTACTCGAAATGTGCTGCAGTAATAAGTACAATATACACATTCCTTTAGGTCCCAATAATTCGGACCGAGCAGTCGTATCAACGTGTCTTTGGTCACGTATTAGTCGCATACCGAGTTGGCCGGTATGTTACCTGGCGTTCGGTTACGTAAATTATTTCAGTCGAATAGCGTACGAAACTGTCGAGATAAAGGCCTGCGCGGATAACTCGGACTACGGTGGCGGCGCGGAGAAAAGATTCCGTGGTCGGACGCGTATTTACATACCTTATCAGAGTTCGGGCTAAGCAGTTTTATATTATAAAAATACGCGACCCGTCATGGTTTTTTATCGACTAGAACACGATGTTTTAGGTATACAATTAGGAAACCTTTCCCTTGGACAAACTATCGCATGTATTGACTCGACTAACGGGCAACACGGTAAAATTACTCCACTAAGAATAAAATATATAGATCTTGGCGTTAAGATTTAAATTAGAATTTAAGAGAACGTAACACAGCCTGTATACTTAAGAAGTCGCGTATAACGTATAAAAAATATTCACAAATTTAAAAAAAATGAAAATTTATCAACTCGAAAATAATAAAATCCACTATAGATATCGAATAAACTGTACAATGACTATATATTATTATAATTTTAATGTATTACTATTAAATATTATATACATATATATATTAATTTGTAAAGAGTCGGGGTGTATCACATACGGTGGCATGCGTGGGGGGGAAAAGTTAGGGATTATATTTCTTCTCAGTAGCGCACGCGGGATTGTTTTCGGAGAGGGTTTTGTTTATAATAATTTCCTAAAGAGTGGATAGCACATTTTATAAGTAATCTGCATTACTATCACTGTTATAACTGAATAAATTAAATTAAATTGTATTTTATTTTGTTATTGAATTTAAAAGTTGATTTTAAAAAATCTAGTGAAGGAAGACATTTAGGGAGAGGTTGACCTCACCCCCCTCTTTGTTGCCACTGTCTACCCTATGGGCTTGAAAATAGCACTTATAATTTTATTTAAAGTTACAACTTTTACGAGGGAAAGTATGATTTTTTGATCAAAAATTTACTTTTAGATTCTGAGCGGAGCGAGGAATTTATTGGTTTTACAATGATGTTAATTTTTTTTTCTACCAGAAATTTTTCTCCGATTTTCAAGTGCAGCACTTCTTCTGAAAAGGTAAGTGGAGTGGTACTTTTGGTATTTTAGAGGAGTTATTTTTTTGATGGAAAAACGAGAAAATATACGAAATGTATTCTTTTCAAATCGTAAATATCACGGCCTTTTAAAACATGAATAAGCGAATTGTATTCAGAATCGATTTTTGTTAGCAAAGATAAATTGTTGTGTACAGATAGATATACATGTTAAATTCCTCTCTATATCCTACCTTTTCAACTTCTCACCTATACAACAGCGATTCATCCATCGTGCGAAGTAGGTCCGTTCATTTTTTGGATTTGACTTTCAAATGCTCATAATCGATTTAACCAGAGAAGATTATACGATTTATTAATGATTATAATTGCTACAAATCCTTTCCCTTCACTTTGCATTCAAAATTCATGGGCATGCCGCTACTGAAGGACACGTTCTCTCTTAAACATGGACAAGATAATTTAAATATGCAGGTGTGTATAATGTAATTACATTTTCCTAAAATATCGTTAAATAAAAAAAAAAAAAGAACTGATACTGGAAATGAGAGCGGCCACTGTTGTAGGTGAGAAGTTGGGAAGGTAGGATACTAAGGTTATTTCATTTATATCTGTCAGCAAGGGTAAGCCATTGCTTGATGAAAGACGATTTCGAGTGCAGTTAAGTAATACGTAATTTGAAGTGCCGTAATTTATTTTGCAATTTTCGTTTAAATTTGATTTCAAAACGCTTATTAAAAAAAAAAAAAAAAAAAAAAAAAAAAAAAGTAATCGAAAACGACCCTTTTTATTATTATTATTATCGTCGTCTTTTTTTTTTTTTTTTGTTTTCTAATGAATAATTAAAGAACGCGTACCGGACGCAGTTTTCGCGTTTTGTAAATTTAGTCCCGAGCCGTAGCGTCTGGCGTTTATATTATTTCAACGGGTTTCGGGTTGATTTATAGTTCCGCGTATCGGCGATCGTTATTTTTATGGGAAAATCGGACGGAATTTTGACCTCTCGTACGATAATCTGTAACCGTACCGCAATGATAATTACTGCATCGCGCATTGTTTGTTGTCGTGTTGTACGACCAGCGACTAGCGCGATTATACTGACCGACTGGCCGGCCGACAATTCCGATTGATTATTTATCTGCTTTTCGAGTAACACATTGCGGACGCGCCATGCTGCCAGCCGGCGGACCGACGGCGTTTCATTCGGCGCGCGACATTGCGCCAGTGTCCCGACCGGTTTACCGGTCAATGGCGTAGGCGAGGCGAAAATGTCGAGAGTGATGGGAGGGGGGTGGGGTTAGTTCAGTTACCGATTCCTCTCGTTCGCACAAAAAATAGTGCGCCACTGGGTCGCGCCGCGCACGTTCACAATTCGTTCCAATAAAAACCAATTTAAACGCCGGGCAAAACGAACTTTAATCGTCCGCGATCGACGCACGCTTTCGGGGCTAATCGAAAACGGAAATGCCGTTTGGCGTAAATCGGTCTTGATTCCTGGTTGTACGGCAGTAAACGTTTCGAGTCTTTTTAAACGCGCTTTTTTTTTTATACGAAAATCAGCGCCTACCGAAATCGAATTATCAATTGGACGGCGGTATGTAAGCGTAATAACAACGGACACGCGAATCTGACTTACCGCGCCGTATCGCGTGCTCTAGCGTGATACCGCGACGCTAAAATATTACCGTAACGGAAATCGACATTTTTTCACACGTCCACTAAACGAACGTTTACTTTCGAAAACGGCGATTATTCGTAGGTACCTCCTCGTACATGGAAATCATCGCAAATAGTCGGGCGGCGCGAGTGAAAAATCCGCGACATTCGCGCGGGACGGTTGTTCCGCCGTTCGCCGTTCGGCGGTATTTATCGTAACCCGGTCGTCCCGCGGGCGTTTTAAAACCGAACGGCGAAAAAAACCCGACGTATCGCGTCCCGTACGGTCGCGCGATTCGGTCTAAAAGGACGGTTACCCGATTTGTTTGTACGCGATCGGCGCGCGGTCGGTCGGACCACGCCGGGGCGGACAATCGCGACGGTCGCTACCAAACGGCGGCGGCCGCCGGATCGGCATGGCCGTGTAACATTACGCCCACGCGCTACGGCTCGCACGCGTCTTTTCGTCCGTCCGCTGCGCCCCGCGCGCTTCTTAACGCGCACTGAACGCGGCCCCGTCCGCCGTCGCGGCTCGCAGCGGCCGCGACCGCAGCCGCGTGTAAACGCCGCCTCTTGTAAAAACGCGTCAGCGTCGCCGCCGGCGTCTGGTTCGAACGTCGTCGTGGCGCGCAACGGCCGGTAAAGGGGGACGGGCGAGACGGGCGAGGTGGGTGGCGTCAGGGAGCCGTAGGAACCGGTAGAGGTGGGTGGTGGCGGTCGGCCGGTCAGACACAACAACACCGACGTCGCCGCCGCGGCAACGCGTGGGCCGGTGCGTGCGCGTGTGCGCGTCCGGAGCGATTGGAACGCGCAATGTCGTTACACGGCGAAAACAATGTGACGGCGACAATAACAACAACGAATTGCAACACGGCGGTAATTAATGCGACGGAAACTGTTGTAACGCCCGCGGGCGCCACTGCGTTACCGTGTGAGTATTGTCCTCGGGCGAGTACCTAGGTGCGCGGATACCCGAAATTCGGGCGGACGCGCGATAGTTACCGGTAATGCCGAGCGTGGCGGCCACGGACTCCCATCGCCGGTCCAGAATGGTCCTGTTGTGGTGGTCCGGGTGCTGCCGGTCCCAGAGCTCGAGCCTTTGGTGCACCTCGGCGATCAGACGGCTGGCCTCGCTGGTGTACTTGCCGGACATGGTTTTCCGCGACAACGGCGACGAGTGCGAATTTGCGCGGATCGACAACGGCACCGGAGCGTACGTACCGACGCGGTCCGCGTTCGGCGTTGTGTATGCACGCGTTTACCCGCTCGGCGGCTACACGCGGGCGACGCGGCGGCGGCGGCGGCGGCGGCGGCGACGGCCTCGCCGAATCGACAAACCGGCGGCGGCGGCTGCCGCAGTCATGCCAACTGCCGACGCGAATGGCTATCGCCGGACAAAAATCGCTCCGCCGCTGTGCGGAGGCGAAACGCCGCCGCCGACACGCCGGCACCGCACGCCGTCGACTGTGGATTTTTCTCCTATCGGATCGGCCGCCGTGACCGCATCGCGCAACACCGCGAACAATAATCGCCTGGTGCGACGGACGCGCGCGATTTTTTCGGGAATCAACGAAAGCCATCCGTCCGGCCCCTCGCCAAACCGATTCTAACCTCGCCCGCTAATCCAAACCTAAACCCGGCGGCCCGAATCCGGTTGTGATGGTCGGCGGCCGGAGACGGACGTCCGCCCGTTAGACGCGCGTATAGTGTCTGCAGTCGTTGTCGGGTAGCCCGCTACGTGCAACGGGAAGAGGCGAAGGGCTTTACGACGTTACCTGTTGCGCCAGCGGAACACTCGCACAAAGATTCCATCCAATAGGTAGGGGGGGGGGAAGGCTGCAGTGCCCCGTAACCAACCCGTTGGACCCCCGTACACTTATCAAAACACGTTATCTAACCTGACCGGAAACCCTACTCGGTAATCGGTACAGGTCACTCGTCCCATACCCTAGGCGGTTTGTTAAAAAATTATCGGACACTCGGACTCCCCCCCCCCCAACGCATTGTCACCGTCTCTGACCCGACTAGAAAAAACCATAATGGCCATAAAAAGTCACCCGCGGCACACCGGCCGGTGACCTCCGGGAGAACGTTTTTACCGTATAAATAGAAATATTATCAACTCGCGTCGGATACGTTATCACGGCCGAAAATGATTGAGTATAGTTTTGCTGTTGTTTCGATCGTTTTCGTCACGGCTCACAATCGCTGACTATTACGCGGGCACCCTGTACAATAATTATTTTAACAAGCCGAAACGCCCGGACAGCCTTTTTCCAGCTCACGAGCGCCTATAGCCATCCGATAAACACTAAGCAAAATGCGGAATCACGGGGATTTAGCCGGCACGATTCGCTGTCGATTAGTGTACGCCGAGGAACCTTGAAAACGGGCACGGGAAAAGAGCGGCCGCGCGGCGACGGATTTTTTTTAATATTCGCCCGAAAACGTTTACGCGAGTGTGTCGTGCGGCGAAATAATTAGCGGAACAATCGACTCGTGTGATAATATCGTACGAGTGTTTGAACGTGTCACCCGAACCCGTAGCTCGGCACTTACCGGCCGCCTGCCGCGTTTGAATCGCGATAAATTTATGTAAAACGCGGTTGAAATTCCCTGAGCAATTTCGTGTTGCGCAACGAAACGACGTTACGCGTCAATCGCCGTATTTTATAACCGCACAGTAGTCGTGATTACACGACTGTTCTACGCGTCGGAAATCGTTACAATCGGCGAAACCATTACTCGTGGCGTATTATTTTAGATTCCTCCGAGTACGGCGAACACGCTATTGGAGGTTTTTTCCCGGTGCAAAACTTTTTGGTTTTTTTCACGCAGTACCTTCATAAAAAAAAAAAAAAAACCCGTGGAATTTCCGTCCGGTGACAGGTTTCCTTAAACGATTCTCTTTTCTTTTTTTTTCTAATTATCAACATGGTTCATCATGGTCTTATTATTTCGTTTTCGGAAAATACTTTTTCGATTAGTGCTCCGAACCGTATTCACTAGAATGCGTAAGAATTATGTAAACTGAATGGAATGATAGTCCTTATCAGTGGACGATCAGAGATAGAGCATCAATAGTGAGCTTTCAGCGTGGTGTAGAGAGGACCTTGTATTTAATGGAAATTAAATACACCGTGTTCGTTATAAATAAATAGAAAGGTGAGATAACGGGGACGGGTGCAGTTACTGAAGTAAAAAAAATAAACAGCGTTGTAAAACCAATAGCTCCCACACTACGATCAGAATCTAAAAGGGAACGGGTGCATCCACCGGTGTAGGTGGAAAGTCGGGAATGTAGGATATAGACGGGAATTTAATGTATATCTGTAAGCAACGATAAACCATTGCTTACGAATAAATTATTCTGAGCGGAGTTCAGTTGATAGCGTTGCTTCGTCAACAATATATATATGTTATTTTATAGTAAAATAATTAAATAGGCTTTATATATTTTCTTTAATATAATTTGTTTAACTTTTTACCGAATTTTCCAATTTTCCTACATTTTTCTCGGTTTTCCCATGTTTTATCCCGGTTTTCACATTTTCTGGTAAAACTCTTGAAAAAATCGAAAAATGACCTTCTTTAAGTACTGTCCCACGCCGATTTCCTTTCAGAAAAGGTGCTACACGTAGAAATCCGAGCAAGTCTTCTGGTAGAAAATTGCGCACGGATAAAAAAAATTCTTTGTAAAACCATGGGCTTCTTCGTTCCACTCAGAATCTAAAATAGAGTATCCGTGGAATACTAATTAAACCGCAGTCAGTGGCGTCATTTCAGTTTTTAAGAGGCGGGGAGGATAAAAGTTTTGATCGGCCTATAATAAAACTGAAAAAAAAACCGCTCCCTAACGTGTTCGTCTCTATTATATACAAGGGAAAAACGGTATGATTCATACCGTCTAACCTTACCCGCGGTTTACCCAACTCCGCTCAGAATCGGATTTTAATTGCAATCATTATATCGTTGTTTTCAGTACGTAACTATATCACTTTATACGTCGAATAACTTTCCGATTTTCCACCTACTACAGTGGCCTAATCGTGGTGCCAATGAGACTAGTGCGGCTTTTCCACTGCGCTATTATATCCACAATACCACAATTCGCGTGCAGTGGATTTTCTCTCGGTGGGTTGCACGAGTCATTTTACATTTTTCAACCTTGAGAGCCCAAACAATACACGCGACTTTACGGAATTGTTTAACATTATTTTATTTCCGGTCCGTTCAATCGTTGAAAATAATCACCGATTTACGTTTCGGTTAACATTCTGAGCTATTTTACTCGTACATAAAATAACAATGTAAACGAATACGGAGATAAAGTTCATAAAAAAAATTAAATATTTTTCATCAATACGGCGAGTCGACGTAACATTATAAAAAAACAACAATATCATTCGTGACTTATCATCCACCGTGTACGAATATCTACCGACTTTAACCGCTGGCACACGACCGCGATAATTCAGGCGGAACACGACTCGTTTGTTGTTTTTCTGTTTTTAGAAAAAAAAAAAAAAAATGAAACGGTATAAGTTCGAAAACATTCGAATTAATTTAAAAACAAATTTACACGTACATAGTCCGGTGTGCCGTTTTCGCGAGTATATTATTGTTTAGTCGGTACATTCGTTCAAAAAACAAGTTTTCCGTTACCCGGATGGGCTGTATTATAATAATACAAAGTATTATATTATTCAGATCGATAGTACGAGCGAACTTTTTATTTTTTTTTTTTTTTATAAATATGTCCGTCTGTTTTTTTTTTGTTTTTTTGTTTTTTGCCGATCGGTATTTTGCAAAACGAAACATCCCTCCGATAATAAACGATTGAGAATTGTTTATCTCTAAATCCTATCGGTTTTGCGTAAATAAACGTGTTTCAATCGCTGAGACTTTCGAAATTTAATACAGTTTCCTATACGTAATGATTGTTTTAATACAATAGAATCGCACGGGTTCCGCGCCGAGAGAATTCGATCGTCGGTTTTGCGCCCGAAACTCGCGATAATAATGATAAATCGACGCGATATATAGAAAACGACCGCGATCCATCGTCGTCGGATTTTCCGGCGGACGTTCGTTTTAAGACCCGAGACGACGAGCGGTGACAATAAGGCGCTCGGCGGACCGAACTCCGAGGGGAAAGGGGGGGAGAAAAAAAAAAAATAAAGGACGGAAAGTTTCGCGAAATTCCCCCGTGCATTTATCCTTTTAACGAGCGGGCATAAAAATCTCGTCGAGGAAATTCGAAAATATATTATATAAAGGCTTTTATCATAGTCTGTCCACGGCCGCCGCGGCGGTCCGAGAAAAGGGGCTGGGTCGTTTGTACGATTGTAGACGGTCTACCGCCGCGTCTCGTTTCGGGAACACGAGAAGCCGTGCTCCGGCAACGGCGGCGAAAAAAATTAACATCACGTTGTTAAACGTAACGCGTAACGGCGCGTTACGATATCATCGAAACGATTTCGCGGACCCTCCGCCGTCGGTGACATCGCTCCGTCCGTGAAATTACGTCGCGTTCGTACACTTCGTTCGTACCGTGCCGTTCGTTCTGACGCCGGGGTCGTGTCCGCCCGCGGCGCACCTAAAGATAAGCACGTGGTCCGCATGTGCGCGTCGGTTTCGTTCCGTCGTTTCAATCCGCAAGCAAGCGACCGACGACGGAGCGTTTGGCCCGACAATATTTCGCGTGTCCGCGACTCGCTTGAAAAATCGACATTTCCGGAATAACCGACGCGCGGACATAGTGTCCCGGGAGTGGCCGGCGGTAGGCGGAGGGGAAATAACCGGACCGCCGAACATGTTTTTCTTCGACGCCGGTTATCCGGACATTTTAGATCGCAGACATCCGGTCCATTTTTTACGACGTATTTGGTGACTGCGGCGGCGTTCGTCGTTTACCGCTGTTTATAATAATAGCCGCGGGACGCTGTGCACTGTGCGCGCTGCTTGAAACTACCGGTAAACCGCTCGGTTCGTATTGAACCGCCGTCGCGTCGTGCCCGCCGTGTTCGAACGAAATATTAAATTTTATAAATATTATTCGTGTGCAATCGAATACGTTTTCCAAATACACGCACTGTTGACAGTGAAAACAGAAAGTTTCTGGCCGAGTGGACCGAACAATATTGTTTCACATTGCATTGCCAGAAAAGGGCTGGAGCCGTTCCAGTTTGCCTCATATGCAATAGCACAGTTGCTGTTGTCAAACGTGCCAATTTAAAGCGACATTATGAAACAATGCATAAAGATTTCGATAAAAAGTTTTCTATTGGCAGTGCGGCGCGTAAAGATAAGCTCCACACGTGTCTCTCCTCTTACAAAAACAGTAAGACTATGTCGGTGCAAAGTATGAGTTGGCCAGAAAAATCGGTAGATGCAGCATTGCGTGCGTGTTGGACGTTAAATAAGCACCAAACGCCATTTTCAGACTCGGAAATCGTAAAAGAATGTATATTGGAAGTGGCCACTGCTTAAAAAAAAAAAAAGCACACAATTAACGCTATTCAATGTATTATTTTATCAGCGAGAAGCAATACAAGGAGAACAGAAAATTTGGCTGATGATAATAAAAATAATTTGATTTACATTTTACAAAAGGTGTCTTGCTACGTAATTGCACTTGATCAATAATGTGATATTGTTGAGCAGATGTCAAATTTAGGCGCTTTTTAGACGTTGATAATAAATTATTTAGAGATGAGTCGCTGGCATTATTGTCATTTAAACGCAACACTCGCGGAGAAGATTTGTTCAAAACTTTTGACGATTTTATGAATACATCAAATATTAGCTGAGATAAAATTGTGTCTATTTCAACCGATGACGACGCTGCAATGATTGGTAAAGAAATGGGATTTTTTAAGAGAATTAAGGATAAGAATGCTGAAATACTTTCATATCAATGTATAATTCATCAGACATCACTGTGTGCCAAACTCAGTACAACACTGAAGGGAGTAATGCACGTACTGATTAAATTAATTAATTTTTTGAGGTCCCGATCTTTTCTTTAGTACATGAAGTTTAAAAAGTTTTTATCTGAATATGGTTCAGCGTGTTCGGATTCGAATTCGGTAAGGTGTAACATATATACTATATATTATATTGTATTCTTTTGCAGCGTTCGGATCGAATCGAGATTTTTTCAAAACCGTCTATACAGACATTTTGCCGACGGATTTTGAGAAGAATTCACAGGTATGGGAGCTATGGAAGATTGGTCAAGTGTATAATAGTCATCGCAAGACAAAAAAAAAAAAAAAAAAAAAATACCAAAAGTAAACCCCGGAATGTAAAATTAGGGAAATTTATCAAAAACCAATGGTTCCCCCGTAGCTTATAACAAGTTATCAGCGACTTCTTCGTCTGCGGGATTTCAGTCACCGCTATCGTTAGCTCGCTTCATTCGTTCATGTCGGAATTATTGTAAAACACAATTTTGGGAACACGGGGAAAAAATTCACGTTTACTGTACAGAGTAAAAAAAAATATTTCAGAAACCAATCACCGCCTTCCGGATTATTATTACGTTCTCGATTTGACAGCTTACCGCAAATTCACAGATTTCGAGTATTTTATCTTTCTTCCGTTCCAAATTTGACCGTTTGACAGATTGAAAATCTATCGTTTCGTGTGTTATTGTATTTTTATCCGCCTCCTCTACTTTCAATACATTTTTCCGTGGTAGGAAAGTTAATCGAAATCCGTTCGGTTGAATTTCACATTTACCTTTGTCGCTTTGTGTTTGTACAAATCTGTTTCTTTTAAAAATACGAAAACGAATTAACGAATATTAGGCATCATTAGAATCCTCCTATTTAAATCGGTTCACTATGCGGATTTTTTTTTTCTTACAATTCGTAACGTTTATTATTGTTCTCATCGTTATTTTTTTTTATTTAAAACACGCGATTATAATTTTTTGTGAAAAGTCATTTGTAAATTTAAAAAAAAAACAACATTTTCTTTTCAGTTGAAAACCTGGTACTTTACGAAACTTTATCGCCAAAAATATTAAAAAACAACGTGAATAATTTATCGCCGAAAATTATTTTCTCCTTATTTTATACGGACATTTCACGTGGGTAGGTATTTACCGACTTGGTATATATTTGTTAATAATTTTTTCATTAAATTTATTTATTTATATTGTTTTACACAGTATAACGTTACAAAACTTGCGTCTGGACCGCGATTTAGTTAATGGAGAATCCGCGGTAATCCGGCTTTCCATCGTTATTTTATCGTCGCAATTAACCGGAAAACGGTTCAACGTCGACTGCAGTGGATACTGATATACAGTATACCATCATTGTGGGCTAAATTCTAAGTTTATAAATAATTCGCGTCTTCCCCTGAATACCGAACGTATAACACGTATTATTATGCGGTGGCTATTCCGACGACAAATACTAGACGAATTCCTCATAAAATACACGCCATATAGCTAACCATTAAATATGCGCCGTTTGTTTTATATTATTATGGGTGTTCTATTGTTTGTACGTTGGAAATATTACGTGTTATCATGGGTCTAAACTTTTTGGTACATTGAAAAAAAAAAAAAATTATTATTATGACACTATTTACCGTTACAGTGGCTCACTTCTGTGTGATCGAGGGAACTCTAGAGATCAAAATAAATAAATAATAATAATCAGAGCTCGGATTTTATGGCATTTGCTAACAATTATGGGATACAGATAAAATGTGTTATTTTCGCACTATATGAGGAACACAAACACAAACAAAAATTTAAAATAAAGTAAAAAAGCGACATTGAGTCCATCTGCTTTATCTGAAAAGACCAGATAATGGTCAGTTTCAGGTGACATTTATGATTATGTATGTAGCCATCTAGCAAAGTTATTATATATAGTAATTTGTTGAATCTTTTTTATTTTGAAATATTTATCTAAATCATTTTAGATTCTGAGTGTAGCTAAGAATGTATTGGTTTTACTAGGATGTTAATTTTTTTTATTATTCTGTGTACAAATATTCTACCAGAAATCTTGCTCACATATATACGATATAGACTCTTTTTTGAAAGGAAGGTTTCTTGGTACGATACTTTAGGGAGGTCATCTTTTGATTTTCCCGAGCAGTTTTCCCAATAAAAGAGAAAAAGTGGGAAAAAACGGAAAATTTACGAGAATAATGCTTTTATTATTTTTATAAATTTGTTATTTGTTGTAATTCAGTTAGAAATATTTATAGAGATTTGAAATTTGGACAAAAAACTTATATTTGCCCTTTCTAGACGTGGTCAAATTTTCAAAATATTTAAGCCATTTTTGAGCTATTTATAAACATTTTAACTTTGAGAGTTTTTACGTAATTTGTATTCGTTAAGTACAGTGAGTCGATACAATTTTTAAACTTAACGGAAATGCTTGAAAATCGAATAGGAGGTTCATTTAAAGTCTGACTTTGTGTTAAAAAAAAAAAAAAAAAAAAAAAAAGACCGCTGTATATATTTCGAAATTATAGCTTTTTGAAGTTTTGATATTATGCGGTTATTATGTTATGCTGAATAACTCTGTATTGTTTTTTTTAGAGAATGTTTTTCGTAGCTGAATGGACCGAGTGTACCGAGAGACCTATTGCTATTGCTTACTCGGACTATTTTAATTAACAAATATGTAAACGTGTATTGATGATAAAGTAAATGATTTATTTTGGTAAAAACCATGATATCATCGAGTTATGTTTTAGACACAAAAATTTGTCACTCACACCTGTCAGAATTTAAAAATAATCATTCCCGTTTTAATAGCCTTTGAAAATTTGTTTTTTTTTACTAAACACGTTTTGTAAAAGGAAATGCCGTATAGTTTTGTTGGGTCATAATTTGATTTTGTTTGTTTGGTAGGTTTTTTAACGATTAAGAAAAACCAAGGTAAACGGAAAAATTCCCGGCAACAACGGCTTTATTGTTTGTAATTAGGTTGAAAAAATCGTAGAGACTTGAAATATTCATAAAACACAAACTTACAACATCATAAATTATTTAAATTGTACTTAAAGTAAAAAAAATAAAGACATACTTCGCACGATGAGTGGATTAGTGTCGTAAGCAAGAAGTTGGGAAGGTAAGATATAGAGCGGAATTCAGTGTATATCTGTACGCATAATAAAATCATTGAAAAACGATTCTGAGCCAAGTACACGTTTTAAAAGGTTGTAATATTTACGATTTTCATTAAAATGTGACATTAAAATTCTTATAAAAGAAAAAAAAAAAATTACATTTAACTCAATTTTTTTCTTACAATCCATTAAGTATAACTAATAATGAACCTCCTGTTAAATTTTTAAGCATTTCTATTTGGCCTAACTACTTTATCGACAGAGTGTACTTACCGAATAAAAATTACGTGTATATTGGCAAAATCCCGATTATTATGCAAACCGCAGTGAAAATCAAAAAATGACCTCATTAAAGTACCAACTAGATAAAGTTCCCTTTCAGAAAATGTGCTAAACTTGGTAAATCGGAACAAAATTTCTTGTAGAATTTTTGTACACAGTATATTTATAAAAAAGAAAACATCATTGTAAAATCAACACATTCCGTACTTGGCTCAGAATCTAAAAAAAAAAAGGTTAGAATCGATTCTAAATGACATTACGATATTATAGGTATGGGCCATGTACCTGCCTATTATACTGGATTTGATAGTCGATACGAACAAGCATAGATATCCGGTTTTCCGATACAAGTACATTTGTATAATGGGTATAGACGGTATACATAATAATAATGTAACGGTCAACAATAAAATAATTCTCGAACGCAATGTTCTTGTCGTATACACATTGGGTGGTGCGAGTATAATAATGTAAAAAAAAAATCATGTGTTTTTTTTTTTTTATTCTCATTACAATACATATAAAACTGAAAAGGAATAAAATTTACAATATTTACACCTACTTAAATGACAAAAGAAATCTGATTCGGCGATTGCGGGACGATGGTTAGTGGACGCAATTCCCCCATTATTGAATTGTCTCGGGTCAACTAACGGGCGAAATTATAGTAAAATTACGTAACTTGGAATCAAAATAATTGTGGCGTTTAGATTGAAATTAGAATTTGAACACGAGCGATGGCAATATTTTAACAACTGTAATTTTTTTTCCCAAATTACAATCAAACAGAAGAGTTACAGACACGTTTTTCTCCTAAATAACCGCATGTAGCTTTTACATTTGGTAATGATTCAGATAAAAAAAAAAAAAAGGCAACGCGATGCCATCGAAAATAATCTCTTTTTTCAATATTATGTAAAAACAGTATTTAAATTATTATTTCAATCATAATGCCACACGATTTTAATTCTGAATTACGTAATTTTACTATGTTGATTTTCTCCTAAATAACCGCATGTAGCTTTTACATTTGGTAATGATTCAGATAAAAAAAAAAAAAAAAAAAAAAAAAAAAAAAAAAAAAACAATGGAATGTAAAA